TGACTAGAACAAATGTTTTTGTTCCGACGCTTAATACAATAGATGACGTGGTAAATTTAGGGAGACCATGGTTGCCCGCGCAGAATGCAGGCGCCTTGGATGAGGAGTACGGGAGCAACGCCGGAGACAACGACCCTCCTGCGCGATTACCAGTCGCCACAATTTTAGAGCGAGGCCGACTCGCTGTTCTCAGTCTGTCTCAAGACGGCTTAGCATGTGTCGGGGCCGCCGTCTTATTATCCCGGTGTTGCGACATGCTGCCGGCGAAGCCGCGATAGCGCGCGAGCAATCGCAGATGGATCTGGATCTCTCAGCAATCGGCGGGCCTAAGGCCACGCTGGTAACTGACGGAAACATTGCTCTCGACCAGTCTGAGGGGCACGTATGCTTTCACCGCGATGACCCTTTGATCAAAATAAGGTTGTTCGGGGCAGAAGTTCGGGCAATTGCAGCCCATTATGTAGTTGAACACACAGGCACACACCTTACTAATCCTGGCAGGGTTACCCTGACCGGAACGACAGAACACGTGATCCCGGAGATCATCCAGAACATATTTGATTACAATTGGTTGGCCCCAGTACAACAAATGCAACTGTGTCTTCGGCCCATAAGGATTTTTGCAATTGTCCGTGAAATTAACAGTTTATTCATATCGGAAGATGTCTTCATTGGTTACCCGGGGCGAATCATTCGTCCCGTTATGGCATGCGCGGAAAATATTGCTTCGAAAAGACGGACCGACGAATATGCTTTGGACTGCCGCATCCGTGCCGCTGTTCAAACGGACGACATAATAGAAAAGTGGTGCCGCAAGATGGGCAGGAAAGTGCAAAATGATGTCCGTCGCCACGGTGCTCTTATACAGGAGGCAATTTCTTGGCTCCAGGATAAATATCCGGACCCTGGTACTGAACTCCAGGACAAAGATTATGGACCCTTCCGTGCTGCGTGCGGAAAATATGGTGTCGCTGCAGCGACAGCTGCCAGGAGTTTAATACAATTCATGAGAGATCGTAGGAATAACAATCCAGACAGCGACGGCGAAGCCGAGTTCGCGGGGCCACGGGCGCCGGCTGGACCGAAGGCTGGATCTTTATCGCGCCCCCCGCCTCTTAGACCTGGCGTCTCAGACGTTCGGGTGCCCGAAGAAGCCGCCGAGTTCCCGCGTTCTGTCGCCGGCTCAGCCGTGGCGACTAGGGAGACATGCCCTCAGCGTCCCAGCATGAGGGATCGGTCGGATTCGCGGCGCGCGCGCGATGGGGCCATGGATGCTGTCGGTGGCGCGGCCATGGATACTGCCAGCAGCGCTGCGGGCAACAGCTGCGAGTACGACCCGTCCATGTCCTACCCGCGCTACGTGGACAAAACCCACGCCGGGTACTGCGCCCATCGGAACGGGATAACGTGGCTGCCCGACGACGCGTGGTATACTCTGAACTACTGCCATGTGTTATCAACATATGAGCACAACTTACGCTTCCCGTCAAAAGGGGCAGCATCGAAGAGCGACACTGACAAAGGAAGAGGGCGGTCCCGCACGCCTCGTGGCGTGGACGTACAGACGGGAGGATCGGCGTCGTCAAACCCGCCGCCTCCGGCGCCGCCCAGAGCAGAGGACGAGCCCAGCCCGTGGGAGGATTTGAATTGAGTTTCGCCCGCGTGACTCAGTCGCGGCAGGCGCATGCAAGACACTTTTATCCACGCGCGGAACGCGTGTTGGATGCGGATACCTCTGCTGGTCGGCTAAGCCGGTCCAGCGGAGAGAACTTATTTAACACAATGGTGGGAAACGTCGAGCCTCTTCGGCCCTTGGCCCCCTGGCAGCCACCGTTGAGCTGTAAAAGCTTTTTTTCCCCAAAGGGAGCTCCACCGAAGGCCCCAGTGGCAAAGTTCGCATGCAGTTCCACCCCCGTTTCGGCGCACCCTCACACGGTTTGTGGCCCCATGGGGAGCTCCACCGAAGGCCCTTGTGGCAAAGTTCGCATGCAGTTCCACCCCCGTTTCGGCGCACCCCTCACAAGGTTCGTGGCCCCAAAGGGAGCTCCACCGAAGGCCCTTGTGGCAAAGTTCGCGTGCAGTTCCACTCTCATTCTGGCGCACCCCTCACACAGTTCGTGGCTCCAGAGGGAGCTCCACCGAAGGTCCCAGTGACAAAGTTCGCATGCAGTTCCACCCAATTTCGGCGCACCTCTCACGCGGCTCGTGGTCCATAGGGAGATCCACCGAAGGCCCCAGTGGCAAAGTTCGCATGCAGTTCCACCCCCAATTCGGCACACCCCTCACACGGTTCGTGGCCCCAAAGGGAGCTCCACCGAAGGCCCCAATTGCAAAGTTCGCATGCAGTTCCACTCCCATGTTGGCGCACCCCTCACACGGTCGTGGCCCCAAAGGGAGCTCCACCGAAGGCCCTTGTGGCAAAGTTCGCATGCAGTTCCACCCCCGTTTCGGCGCACCCCTCACACGGTTTGTGGCCACATGGGGAGCTCCACCGAAGGCCCCAGTGGCAAAGTTCGCATGCAGTTCCACCCCCATTTCGGCGCACCTCTCACGCGGCTCGTGGCCCCATGGGGAACTCCACCGAGGACGGTATTTACCATTGCGCTACTCACATTTGCATATGGTTGGGTCCTTCGCCAGGGTAACTGTTTTTTGGCTTTCGGAGCCTTCTTGGAAGGCTCTCGGAGGCCACTTGAGAGTCTCGGGCAATTTCTCGGCAGACTGGATGTCATCTTGGGCTTCTTGGACCGATTGCTCAGCGATTCGGGGCCCTCTTGGACCGTCTTGGAGGCCTCTCGTGGGAGCCTCCTGGCCCGTCTCGGGGTCCTCTTGGGCCCGAACAAGTCATGCGAGAAGACGCCGGAAGCCCCAGGGGCCTCGCAGGGAGCTCCAGAAGATTTGGCAATTTTGGGCCCGGGCTTCCTTACGGAACCCTCAGCATGGAGGGCTGAGGCTTAAGGGATTAGGCCAGGGACTTGAGGACACTCCAACTCGTGCCTCAATGGCACGGTGGCGGATATAGAGGGGTATCGGTTGCCTGCTAGCTTGATAGCGGTCTAGACCGTTGTGGGTTAGGTTGTTAGCCACGTTGTTTGCCCAATTCTGTAGAACACATCGCCGTTACGTGTTTAGTGAGGTTGTACGTTAGAGGTGCTCGCCGATACTTAGTTTATAAGTGGATCCGTGAGATATGTGCACTGTTACATGGATAGTTGTATGCAGTTATGACTTTCCCGATGCATGCAATATGTGTATATGTGTGTGTTTGTATATATTAGTGTGCATGTGTGGCTATACTCATGCAGTTCTTTATTTCGGTTTTGTGGTCGGTCCGCCATACTGTTAGACCGCCAGTGATGCTGGCACACAGACAGCTAGTTTGGTGATGTTACCCGCGCGATTGTGCTGTGGCATACATGGTCACGCGTATGCATCATTCTTCTACGCCTTCATTTCGACTTGCACGTCTTCTTATTGTGCGCGTGTCTGGACGGATGAGTTCCATATTCAGCTACGTTCGGACCGAGGTATGAGATCGAGGTCGGTTCTGAGATGGCACCCTAGTGTTCTTCGTGTTTGCTGCCTCGAATGTTCTTCAGTTTGGCGCCGTTGTTCGCTTGTTCTGGTAAGGCTGGGGTTCGGGGTTCATGATTCGGCTACGTGCGTCTGCGGAGTCGGCAGGGCCCTTCCGCGTTCTTCGGTTCCGATGTCAAGGTGCGGCCTCGTGCAACTGCGCGCTCGTTGATGATGGCGGCGCGAAGGCAATCACCTTCGCATGCTTTGTTGCGAGGCGATTGGCGTGGGCCCATGCGACAGGCCGGAATGCCCGCGCGTCCGTTGCGCGGGCGGGGGCCCTCCGTGTTCTTCGCTTCCGATGCCCTAGCGCGGCCTGCAGCAACCGCGCGCTCGTGGACGATGGCGGCGCGAAGGCGGGCACCCTCGCGAGCTCCTCGGGAACCGCTCGGGAGGCGGGGGGGGCGAGAGATCTGCGGGGGCCGGGCCGCGCCGCCGCAGGGCTCCGTCGGGGGCGGGCGGGCGCGGCCGCGCGTGGCTTGGGCGCTCCGCTGGTGGGGCCGGCGGCCTGGGCCGCAGGACTCTCGCGTCCGTGCTTGGCATCGCTCGGACGTGTGCATTTTTCCTTCGGCGAGGACCATCGAGGAGCATCCTTGATCATTTCGCGAAAAAGCCACGCACGAAACCGAAAAACACACAGAAAATGGACGTCCGAGCGATGGCCAGCGTGGCGCGGGTGCCCTCCACGTTTTCCGTCGGTGCCGGCTTCGGCAGCCGCGCGGTCGTCGATGCTGGTGGCGCGGAGGCGGGCACCCTCGCACGTTCTTCCTCGGGTGTGGGCTTCCGCAGCTGCGCCCTCGTCGATGCTGGCGGCGCGAGGGCGAACGCCCTCGCATGCCCTTGGGGAACAGGGGCTGGGGGGGGGCCCAGGGTTGCGGGGGCCAGGCTGCGCGCCCGAGGGCTCGAGAGCGGCCGAAAACCTTGAGGGTGGACCTGGGAGTGTCCCCCATGGCTGCCCCGATATGGGCTAGGCGACGAAGATCGCCTGACGCATCGGAAGGGTGCAATCGGTGATCTCATGGTTTGGGGTACTTTTGCCGTCGGAGGGTGTCGTGTTCTTGAAAGATGTTTTCTGTCCTAGGTCCGGCCGTGCGGGTGTCCTCGACGCGGCAAAGCCTTGCAGGTGAGAGTAGGTGGGACTTGTCGAGGTGTGCGGTGCGATCAACGTGCCGCAGGCTGGGGGTCGGTCAGCAGTTCGGGCACTTGCGGGAAAGGGCGGCAGGAATGCAGACAGGGGAAGGGGAGGAACACCTAAGCTAGATTTGCCAGGCAAGCAAGGACTGGACGGGGTCAGGGGAAGGCAGAGTTTCCGACGGAGAGGGGAAACGTGAAGCCCCGCTCATGCCAAAACCTTCCCCTATATCTCGAATTCCTGCCTTGTCCTCCAACTTTTCTTGCTCCTGGAGCACTGCCAGCGTGCTGGGGAGGCATTCCCGCCGGATCCGCAAGTCAGGCAGCTGTCCGGAAGGCGGCCCTCCGACCTTTTATTGTGCAAACCGCCGTGTTTTGATCCGCGGCGCGGAAAGAAGAGGGGGAGGGCGATGGGGGGGGCGGTCGGAGGAGGGAGTGGACGGGGAAGAGAAGGAATGACGGGGAAGGCGGATTGAGTGGAAGGGACCCCGTCGCGATGCAACCCCGAACGTAATTTGCCTTCCCTGAGCTCGGCGTGGGCTGCATGGAAAATGCAGCACTGACACCACGAAACGCCGCTGACAGAACGCCACTGAACCACGACGAACAGGTAGAGCCACCAGCGCGCCACAGCGATGTACCAGTAATTACGTTGTGCTGTGGGTCGTACCCATCTTGTATCCACCGTGTGCGTTCGCCCTGTTTCACAAGTGTAGCGTAATTCGCAGCCAGGGTCTGCCTCTACGCCGATGACATGACACGAACTTCACCTCATTTCCAGCAGCCATGAACACCCGAGGGTGAATAATTCAAAACACCGCGCCGCCTCCTGGATCACCAGGGCACCAGTTGAATCATGCCCCCTGAAGTGCAACCCAGAAACACGAAGAACGGCCACCACCGCCCCAACCCACCAACAGGATGAAGAGGACCAGGTACGCTCTAGCGATGGGAGGGTGATGCCACGTGGGCTCCGAGGTGCCGCCCCGACCCGCCGCCAGGGACGGAAGATGATGAAACCGTGCAGGAAGAATCTTAATTCACCCAAGATAGCAAGTTGCTCCGAATCTCCCAGTATATTGCAAACGTGATTCGCCATGTGTCTGCGAGGGGGATCCAGAGGAGGGAGTGGGGAATGAGGAAGAGGGAGGAGCAGGACGATCAGGAGCCAGAGGAGGAGAAGGAGGAGGAGGAGGAGGAGAAGGAGAGAAAGGGAGGAGGAGGAGGAGGCGGAGGGGAAGGAGGAGGAGGAGGAACATTAGCAGGAGGCTGATAAGAGAAAAAGGACGGAGGAGGAGGTGGAAGAGAAGCAGGAGGAAGAGGAGGAGGATGAGGATGATGAGGAGGAGGCGGAGGAGGAGGAGAGGAAGAGGAGGAAGAGGAGGAGGAGGAGGAGGAGGAGGAGGAGGAGGAGGAGGAGGAGGAGGAGGAGGAGTAGGAGGACCAGTGTAAACCCAAGGCGCGTCAACGATGCTGCAGTCCACCCTCCCTCTAAGTTCGCTCTCTTACAGGTCCTCGCAGTAAGTTGTTCTCATCGCAGAAACTGCCCAATTCCATGGCAACTGTCTGCGAATCCTCAATCGTGCCAACGCGCCAATCCTGGGGCTTCATGGCCGCGAGTCAGCGTGGCAGTTGCGCCCTGAATCCCAGTTCGTGCCAGAACACAGCTCCTGGACTTCAGCACTGCGGATCAACGTGGCTGTTGCGTCGTGGCAATTCTGAGCCGTGCTAGAACACCATTCCTGGACTTCAACTTTTACGAATCCGTGAAACTGTGTTGCACGAATGTGTGCGACTCTAAGGCGAGGGCCACATTTTGAAATGGAACCGCCTTCCATCTTTGACACTGTAGCACATTTTGAGACGAACGTGCACCTGCGCTAAGGGCGAGGGCCACATTTTGAGGACGGCCCGCCTTCCATCCTTAAACTGCTGTACATTCCATCCTTAAATTTAACGGACAGGACATGACGATCCTGTCCCTCTTCTTCCTCCCGACCATATACAGTCAAAGGCGGTCCTACTCGAATCCTCGTCGTCGTCGTCGACGTCGTCGTCGTCGTCTTCGTCCTCGTCGTCGTTGTCGTTGTCGTCGTCGTCGTCGTCGTCGTCGTCGTCGTGCGTGCTCTTCGCCCCAACACGTCGCACGAGCTACAGCCGTTGCGTGGCACCCTTGTCGTCATCGTGCTCCTCCTCCTCCTCCTCCTTTTCCTCCTCTGCCTCCTCCTCCTCCTCCTCCCGCGATCCACCGTGGCTAGTCTTTCATCATCGATCACTTCTGAGGGTCTTGCCCGAAGCGGCCCCACAGAGCCCGAACATCGAGGAAGAACCTTCGGCGCGATATATTCTGCACGCCACTCCTACTCCTCCTCCCCCTCCTCCGTCGCCTCCTCTTTCTTCTCCTGCTCCTAGGTCCTTTTTCGCCTCCTCCTCCTCCTCCTCCTCCGGGGAGGAGGGCCAGGGGAAATTCCCTGTCCGAGGAGGGAGGTAAGGGAGGGGAGGGTCAGACTAATAATGAGGAGCAGCAGCAGGAGGAGGATGAGCAGCATACTGAGCAGAACGAGGAGAAGGAGCAGAAGGAGGAGGACGAGGAGGAGGAGGAGGAGGATGAGTAGCAGGAGAAGGAAGGAACGGGAGCAGGAGGAGGAGCAGGAGGAGGAGGAGGAGGGGGAGGAGGAGGAGGAAGAAGAGGAGGAGGAGGAGGAAAAGGTAAAGGAATGAGGATGAGGATTTGGAGGAGGAGGAGGAAGCTTAGCAGGAGGATGGTGAAGAGACGAATGAATGAGGAGGAGGAGGAGGAGGAGGAGCATGATGATGATGATGACGATGATGATGCTGATGATGATGATGATGATGATGGTGATGATGATGATGGTGATGATGCTGATGGTGATGCTGAAACTGATGATGGTGCTGATGATGATGCTGCTGATGATGACGATGATGCTGCTGATGGTGATGATGATGATGATGGTTATGACGATGATGCTGATGATGATACAGATGATGATGCCGATGATGATGATGATGATGATGATGATGATGATGATGATGATGATGATGATGATGATGATGATGATGATGCCGATGATGAGGATGCTGCTGATGATAATGCTGATGATGATGATGCTCATGATGAGGTTGATGATAATGCTGCTGCTGATGCTGATGATGGTGATGATGATGCTGATGGTTATGATGCTGATGGTGCTGATTATGATGCTGTTGCCGATGCTGATTATGATGATGCTGCTGATGATGGTGATGGTGCTGACGATGACGATGATGCTGATGCTGCTGATGCTGCTGATGCTTATTATGCTGATGCTGATGCTGATGCTGATGCTGATGCTGATCAGGATGATTCTGCTGATGATGATGGTGCTGCTGCTGATGATGATGCTGATGATGCTGCTGATGGCGATGCTGATGATGGTGATGTTGCTGATGATGATGCTTATGATGAAGATGACGGTGCTGATGATGATGATGATGATGATGATGATGATGATGATGATGATGATGCTGATGATGATGATGATGATGCTGATGGTGATGGTGGTGGTGGTGGTGGCGATGCTGATGATGATTATGATGATGCTGATGCTGAGGATGATGCTGATGCTTAGGAGGAGGATGAGGATGAGGAGGAGGAGGAGGAGGAGGAGGAGGAGGAGGAGGAGGAGGAGGAGGAGGAGGAGAGGCAAATCCATCAGGAGGAGGATGAGGAGAAGTGTTCTTGCCGCCACACTGCTGTGCCCGAGGAGCACGCCCAGGTAGCCATGGAGCATGACTATGCCCTGGTGTGACTGCTGTTTGCACGTGACATCGTTGCTGGGAGGCGCAATCACGGTCAAAGAGAGCTGCTCCTGGGAGAAGGGACGGCGGCGGCGCCATCGATAGCAGGTCCTGACGTTCGCCCATGCCGTTCAGCCGATCAGCATCCCCAGGAGGAAGCACAGCTTCAAATCCATGGCCGTTGTGTGTACGGGCACGGCCCGGTCAAAGGCAGACGCACCCGAAAGGCCATTGTCGACGTCGGACTCCGACTCCTCCACCATAGCCTCAGCAGTTCTAGGGGGCTCCACCATAACACATCATAACATATCCAGCATGGGCATGCCCTCGAGGAGTCGAACGAAAATCGTCCGCCTGCACAGGTGCAAGCAACCGCTGCTCCACCTCCCAGAGGCCAGGCCCCAGCAGGCCCGCGATCACGGAGGCGTGCTCGTACCAGATGCCGCCGCCCTGCGAGGCCACCTCGAGCCCCGCGCCAGCGGGGCTCGCGAGGTGCCGATGACGGCCGACTCCGCCATCCGCGTGCCCGCCGCAAGCCCGTCCACGAAGTCCTGCGCGCGGCACTTCGCAGCTGCCGAACTGGCAGCGCCCTGCAGTACACCAAGCGGACGCCCTTGTGGCGTGGGCTTTGACCAGTGCCCGCCGCCGCGCCGAGCCGTGGCGCATATGCCGCGCGAGCCGCAGCGCCCCTGGGGGAGGCCTGCCGTGGCACCTCCGCGGCTTGCATACTGTCACTGGAAGTGTATTCAATAACAACAGTGTGATCGGAGATTTTGGATCTGGGGGTACTGTTGCTACTAATGCAAGAATTGTTACTACGGTTGGTGAAGATGTTTTCACCAGTAACAGTGTCAATGGGAATGACGGGAATGGTGGTGCCGTATATTTTATTTCTAGTACGACGTTGTGCCTCAGCACCTTGACGTCGTCCTCCGTCTCCTTTTGGAACCTCCAGCTGCATGATGGCGCCAAGGGCAGGCGCTGCCGCCGCCAAGCGTTCACCGAGCTCGCCGTCCCCGAGGAGGGTCGCCAGCTCATGGTGCAATAGCGCCCCTTCCAGAAGGCTGCCTCTTGCTTGAGGTCTGCGAGCAGTGCCTCGCCTCACCACCGCGCACACCTCTGAGACGCTCGCCTCTCCGCGCTAGTGCTCCAACCTCCATGTACACGATGTGGGGCAGCCGCGTCGCCGCCAGCGACAGCTGCCTCCCCGCGTCAACTGCTCGTGGCTGCAACGAGAAACCCGCACATGCCAAGCCTTCTTGAGCAATAGGGGGTTTCGCCCGCTACATACTGAGGAGGAGGAGGAGGAGGAAGTGAAGGAGGAAGGGGATGAGGATGATGTGAAGGATGATACTGCTGCTGCTGATGATGACGATGCTTACTATTATGATGAAAACGCTGATGATGACGACGATGCTGACGATTATGATGATGTTGATGATGATACATGTGCATATGATGATGTGCATATGATGATGCTGATGATGATAGTCATGATTCTGATGAGGATGCTGATGATGATGATGTCGATGTTGATCA